AGGCGTGTCATTGACGTCAGCACTTAAACTTATTGATCCCATGTATCCGAAAACTGTGACACTCCGCACCAGGGTAGGCGTCATCTCGTAGGCCTGAATTACCAAAGGTAGACATAATCACAGGTGGTCGTGTGAGAGTCAAACCTGACTCAGGCATTCAAGCACACACTGCAGTTGGCTACTCCAAATATTCAGGTTACCGTTAGCCACCTAGGAGTTCAGTCGGGACTTATAAGCATTGTTTGCATTTATCGGGCACCAACTCCAACAGCAGCTGAGGATAAGGAACTAATGCGTATCCTAAATGAAAGGCTTAGAAGAGCCCATAGATTCCTCATCGCGAGAAATCTAAACCTGCCTTAAAAAGCTTGGGAAGAAGAACGAGCTCCTAGAGGAACTGCGGGGTGAGCGCTACTGGGGCGGATCCATTAGCATGCGCTAGTTCATCATGTAAGGGAACCCACCCGGTTCCGTTTCAACCAGAGGCCCTCATTCCTTGGCTGAGCTATACCTCGAGCAAGGTCAGATGTCGTTAGTCTCACGATAGCGGTCTCCTAGGCAGAAGCGACCAGGCGGTGCTTCAGTTAAGCCAAGGATCAAAATGGTCCCGTTGTATGAGGGTTCACAGGAAAAGAGTCTTCAGGGGGCAGCGTTGGGTTTAAGCTGAGTCCACCATCTAAGAGGGTTGGACTGCAATTGAAGATGGTTTACTAAGGTTCACAGAAGAGTTTGCACCGCTGAGGCCCAGGCTACTCAGACAACGTCCACCATGGTGGAAACGATGTTTAGATAGGGCTCTGGCCACAAGCAGTCGATGTGGACACTTTACAAATGGCTCCATTCGTATCAGGCATAGTATAACTATAAGACAGCAAGAAACCATGCGCAGGCTATGCAACAAAGAGCATGGGATTGCGATAAAAACTGAATCCAAAGAGGTTATATGCTTATGTCCAATCTCAAAAAAGGCATCAATAGAGGGGATTGGAACGATAGAAAGCACTCATGGATGTCTTGCTCTGAGGAAGACCCTTAAGGCTTTCTGTAAGTGAGTGCAAAGACAGTCAGTACCGTTAGGTATGATAAATAGACTCGATTATATCAGCGCGACATCACGGTTGACCAAAATAACTGTGACACCAGACGAAGTCCTTCGCGAGTGAGCTACTCTAAACAAGTTCAAGCAAGCGAGACCGGATGGGGTATATCCTGCTTTTGTTAAACCTCTAGCGGGAATATTCCTAGGGCCTTTAACAAAGCTGTTCCAGGCATCTCTAGATCATAGCGAGATACCGGGAGATTAGAAAATAGCGACGGCATTTGCTCTGCAAAAATATGGGTCAAAACAAAAGAGCGAAAATTGCAAACGAGTAAGTCTGATGTCGGTCCTATGCAAATACTTAGAAAGAATTGTACGTAAGCATATGGCTGCATACCTAGAAGGGCATGAGCTGCTAACGCCAGCTCAACATGGCTTTATTAAGAGGACATCTTGTTTATCGAATCTGCTTGCCTTCCTCGATGAAGTCACATAACGATTGGATGAGGGACAGCATGTTGAGGTCTGTTTATTGGACTTTAGCAAGGCCTTTGACTCTGTATTATAAGGGGCTGGACCGAAAAATGCAATTCTTAGGAATCGGGGGAAAGTTAGAAAGCGCGTAAACTGCTTCCTTACTTACTGCACCTTACAGGTCATGCTTATTAGGCACTTATCTGCGCCGGCAAACATGATTAGCGGTGCCCCTCAAGGTTCTGTTCCAGGCCCACTGCTATTCCTGATGTTCGTCAGCGATCTGCCACGGGAAATCAACAATCCGTGCTTCATGTTCAAGGACGACTTCAAAGTGGCTGAAGCGAATGTACGGCCGTGCGGTTGTACGTTGGTCCGAAAAATGGGATCTTCCTCTCAACCTAACCAAAGGTCGGCTTCTAACAGTGGAAGTTGTACTTGACATTCCATATGAAATCCATCTCATGAGAGAGATTTTAAGGACCTGGGATTCATTATCCCACATGACGTCAACCCCCCACAACAATGTCAGAGGGAAACCAATATAGCTCGAAAGTAACTCTTTCGTTTACCCTTCACGATTACGTGTGGGAGCC